ATCACGAGCTTTTGCAAACTGAATTTACTATGCGCTTTTTTATGCCGTCATTAGACATCGATGCACCGGTAAGAGACAAAGAAGCATCAGCAGCACGATTTTCTCATTCAGATGACTCGTATCGCTATTATCTCCAGTGATTACTTTGAAAGAAAGGAAGGTAGTCTCGAGTTGGTATATTTGGATTTGATAAGAGTTGAGAACGTAAGTTTTGAAAAAATGAAATGAGAGCTAACTGCTTTGAAAGATTCTGACTCACTCTGTTCCCTATCTACCGTTACTTGGATTCTGTTGTAAAATTATCTTGCATCATGATAGCGGAAGAAGAATCGAAGTTAGTTTCGATTGATCATATCTTTTCCCAACTGCTACATATCTAGCATGTATACGCTCGCCTTCTTGAAAGCAAACGCGAAATGCTTGCTGATTTGAATAACAATACAGTCAACATAATCTTGGGAAGCATCAAGATGTATTATGCAAACTTCTTTGACATCTTCAGAACGGTTTGTGCAAGATTGCAATAATTACCATTAGCAGTATACAGGTCAAATGTCACAACAAGTTTGAAAGAGTTGTAAGTTATGGCTTGCCTTCTTGTAAGCATACTTTCGCTGCAATTCATAATTCGAACCTCGATTATCCATTGGAGAATGTTCCATCGTATTATGAGAGCCAGCATCCTGTTATAGATGGTAAAAATTGTTATACATGCAACAAGACTATTGGTGAGCCCGAATTGAAAATGTGCAGAAGATTGGTTATCCGATTGCCATCTATATCTCTAGACAATGAGGTTCTTAACATAAAATCACATAATAGAACAGTCTATCATACAGATGAGAAGATACTTTCATCTCTATTCATTGGTAGATGACGAAGATGAAGATGATGAACTACTTGATTTAGAGGTTTTGGATTTTCTAGATGCAGATTCAGTAGGTGTTACTATTTAATGAAATTCCTAACTAAACAACACAGATTTGTTCTCAACAAATACCTGCTCTCAACGCTCTTGGATTCTGCTGTGAACTGTTAACTATTGATACAACAACTGAGTGTGAGATGGTAAGATCTAACATCTTCCTTTTACAACAATCTACTCACAGAAATGGCTTGTGAGAGGACTTTATGGAAAGAGTTGCAAATCTGAACTGGGATCATTCATAGATTATACAGAGTGTCTTGATGATATGACCATGTATGAAGGAAGAGGAATTGGAGATCTGACACCGGTATCAGAAGGGTTATGAAATCAAATCAGTTATTTTAGGTTTATTGTCCTCAAACTGTCATATTCTACCTTGACAGATTCGGATTTGATGATATGATAGTCAAGAGAAGCTCTCTCATGATTCTCGAAGGAGGAGAGAAGGTAAAAGCAATCAAAACTTCTGATAATACAAGCA